TTGAGGACACATGCACCCTTTCTTTCACCCATATGCAGGCACAAATATGCACACACACATACACACACGCTCTCCTGCAAACTCAGTCATTTTTACACACTCACACATATGCAAAATAGCTGTTGCGCCCAGTAATTACAGAAGATGGAAGCCATTAACTAGTTGTAATATATAATAATATAATATCTCCATCCTATTGCTGTTCTTTGTTTCCATCCCGAGGACCAAATTATTCCCACATCAACAGGGAAGCAGAGTTCACACAATTAAATAAAATAGTAAACAAACAGTGGGAGTCAAGTCCAAGAGGCGTGTACTGAGTCACGTCCAAGATCTTTCAGCAGATGATTTTTTTTTCACATGCGCAAATCATCTGACTATGTAATAAAAAAGAAAAAATGGCTTGAGTCAGTTTTGATCATAGACTGATTATTCACACTCAGTATGATATGTAATTGTAACAGTCTTTCCTGATTTCACTTCATAAACATAAAATTTCACATGGACAGCTTCCTTTGACAACTCATTACGTGGACCAAAAAGTAAAATAAATGAGTAAATGATAATCTTAATAATAATAAAATAAATTTAGATCAAAATCATAACAAACGATTGACAATGTTGAGATGCAGTGCCTGAAGGAATTGCTTCTCGTTATCAATCTTTCCAAATCCAATCACATTGTCATCACATTGTTGCATAATCCAGTTTACTGAAAGATGACGCTGTGCCTCCTTCTACTTTGTTTTAAGGCACGGAATCTAGTTTTATTATTATTGCTATGGGTTATTTTATACTGGTGCCAGTGTAAATTTTAAAAAAAAATTACATGTTGCTTGTTCTTAAACTGAGGAAGGTGTATGTGGCATGCTGTGTCCATCATGATGCAGATGGCTGAACAAACTGAGTCTTGTATGCAGAACCAGCGTTCATATTACTCACTCTGTGTGCATGTGTGTGTGTGTGCATGTGTGTGTGCGTGTGTGTGCACAACTGCTAGATGCACTGTCTTTGTTTCATGTCTGGCCCTGCAGGGGACCCTCACAATGCTCCCTCTGTCCCTGCGACGCCTCATCTGTCTTCAATTTCTGTCAGTCGTCTGGAATCGTTGAAACATTAACCAAGAAGCTCATTTTAACAAAAAAATATTAAAAGACAAAACAAAACAAAAAAACCCCACAAATCTTTTCTATATTTTTATTCAGATTCATGATAGACTTAGGTATGCCAAGCAAGCTGGACCTAGCCCAATCACATAAGTGTTCTTAGTGCTTAAATCACGAGGTCAGAGTGGGTACTGTACTGTAAGTCACAGCCTGCCAGTTAGTGTAAATTAAAGAGGCAGGCACATGTCTGAAAACCTGATAGACAGAGGCAGATGGAGAAAGACCCGCAGCTGGGCACAGTACCTCTTCTTGCCAGGTCCTTGGCAGTTTCTTTGCCTATACCAGTGTTGGCTCCAGTGATGACCACTGTTTTCCCATCTAACCTCTCCTCAGAAGACCAGTGGTTACAGCACACACCCCTGAACAAGAGGCAAGTAAAAGCATTGATTATATATTTTTTCCTCAAAGTTTTAAAGACCTGATCTTTATTTGGACACAAAAGAGTCTATAAATCAGCACATGCTCTCATACTAACTATTCAACATCAGAGTTACACATACTGCATCTGTAACAGAGTATATTACATCAGTTGGTTTCCAGAATAATTGCGCGAGTCGTTTAAACAGATTCATGCTCAAAGCTCCTTTTTCCGTTTTCAAAATTAGCATAAAAACACCAATAAAACTACGACGCAAATCACTCTGCAAAATCTGGTGACACAGTGGATAATCTTCAAATATCTCACACTGCTGGTATTATTAGAGCCAGCTACCTAACCTTTAACGTTTTCTGCAGGCTCTATTTTATGTATTTTTCTCCTACCTGCAGTACATTCTTCCTCAAAGAGCAACAGGTTTCCACCTTAGGACCTCTGCGACAATACAGCTCCTTTCTCCGCCACAACACTTTATCAGCGGGTTCCGTGCTTTTCATCTGTCAGCCACCTCTCCTCGTTTTCTTTTGCGTATAGGTGCCGGGGCCAATCAGGGGCGGGCTGACGCATAATTGATTCACAAGTTACAGGCTGTGGGAGCAGCCGGCTCTCCTGCCGCCTCCTGCTGTCGGAGAGACTCGAGTTATGGGGTTAGCTGAGGCGAGAGTGTGATAATTCACCACTGCGGTGTGTGATACCACCGAGAGCGTGGAAAAGCCAAAGTTAAAACATGCCTCACTTTTTTATGTAGCAGCATGCCAGTGCTAAAAATCCTAATGATGTAAGAGTCTAGTAAAAATGGGAAGTCTGTTTTTTTCACTCACAAACGGACACACGAGGACACACAGTGTTATATCAGGGATGTTTCTTTATTGCAAGCGGTTACATTTGTCTTAGCCTTCAGATCAAAGGTGAAGTTTATCTCCAGCGGATGCCCAACAGGTGGCAGCTTACAGCCCACAGCTTCAGGGCTGTGCCGTCATCCTGGCCGGCATTGGAGCTCTCTGCTCTGGAGCAGTTACTGTAGAGAAATGGGTGAATGGACAATACATAAGCACATCGTTTAAGCGAGCTATACATTTCCATCGCTTTAACATAAAGTGCACTAAAACATGTGATAACTAAAATGTAATCAGCTGATAGTTAGAAGATAGTAGGTAAAATAGAGACACAATTGGATAACTGTAAGGTAATATTTGGTGCATTATTACGTGTAAACTAATCAAACTCCACACTTTCTTCATTGATCATTACATTTCTAATTTATTCTTTTTTGTTACTTCAGGTAGTTACTCATTGCTTCAGGGCTGAATGACCATCAATAGAGTCGGTTTAAAATGAATCAAATGTGAGTTATAGCCATGGGTGGAGATACAGTATTTTCCGGTCGTGCTGAGCGATTTGGAGACTGAAAAACAGATAACGCTGTTCTTTCTAAGAATATGCATATTATAAAATATTTATTATCTAACGAATCACTTATACAGAATGACTCATAGATCTTTAGTAATTACCCATTAATTAGTGTATTAAGAATTATTCGGATGATATCGATGAATGGCTCCTCTTGTCTTTCATGATTCTTTAATCACACCTGTTTTTATAGCGATTAAGCACGTTTTTGTCTGTAATTGTAAATACTTTGCTCAGTGGTCAAGTTTATGTCTTTTAAGGAAAATATTGCAGTTTATATTCCATCGTTTATAAATCATATAGCTTCATAGAAGCTGAGACTGGTCGTAGATTTAGTTGCGTCACAGGCAACTTCTTTTGTGTTTCACGCTGACCTGTAGTATCCTCCAGTGACCAGCTGATTCTCAGGAGTGACGGTACAGTAGATGGTGGTGTAGGCTCCCTCTGCTGGGGTCTTGATCAGAAACCCGAAGTTCTTGACTATATCCAGAAGAGGGCGCCATATATGCCTTAAAATGTCAGTGTTCACGAAGCCGGGGTCAACTGAGTAGGCCGTGATACCTAGAACTGGAGGGATTGGTATAAAATATTATTTATCCAACCTGAAATTAAGCAGATCCTTGATAACAGCTTGTAGTCACACATAAGTGTACACATCAGGAAAGTAAAACATCCAGAATATATAGTTTCACTTGATTTAGGGGGAAAAAAAGGGTTATAGAAAGCCTTGACTCATATCTGGGAAGAATGACAGCATTATTAGTGAATGAGGAGTGATTTGCTGGGCAACAATTAAGTCTTTAACACAACTTGTGCTCTGATGTCGCCCAGAGCAGTTGTGGTTGAAGCATGGGACTCTCACACTGTTGAGATAAGATCCATTTTCTCCTTGCATAAGGAAGGCGAGGCAGACAGGCAAAAGACAACACATAATGACTAGATAATATTTCAGTCTCTGCGTCCCTACCCTCTGTCCTTTTGGCCAGCTCTCTGGTGAACAGGACATTAGCCAGCTTGCTCTGCGCGTAGGCCCTGAAGTGATGGTAATCCTTCTCCCCTTTCAGATCATCAAAATGGATCTTGCCAAAGAAGTGAGCTGCTGATGACAGGTTGATGACCCGAGATGGGGCCGAGTGCTTCAGCAAGTCCAGCAGCAGAAAAGTCAAGAAGAAATGACCTAAATGGGTGGTAGGAGAGAAAACGGCGAGGAGTTTTAAGCCATCACTGATCACTGATCACATATTTAGCAGTAACAACAGGAGCTGACTGACAACTCATCTGCTCTTTTGCTAAAGTCTGTTTCAATCTAACATGTTTGTCATTAACTAAACCTTGTGTGTTTTTTCCTCCTACCCAAGTGATTGACTCCAAACTGCATCTCAATTCCATCCACTGTCCTGGCAGAAGGACACACAGCCACGCCTGCATTGTTGATCAGATAGTGAAGAGCTTTCTCGGCTGTGAAAACAGGACAATTGTTACCACCATCACAGTATTTAGAAGGAAAAAAGAATGCACGCACTACTCTGAAGTCCGCGTGTGTGTTGCGTGTGCCACCCACTGTTGTAGATATTCTCGGCAAACTGGCATATTGATTTGGTGTCAGCCAGATCCAGTTGCCTGGTGACAACCTTCGCTCCCTTCACCTCCCTCACGATGTCGCAAGCAGCTTGCTCTCCCTTCGCCATGTCTCTGCACGCCAAGATCACCCGGGCGCCTACGGGAGATTAATTCCTCTTGTTTGCGTGTACATGCATGTTTGACATTTGAACAAGATAGCACGATTTCAACACATATGTCTGGGCCAGTTTGGCAGTCTTTGTGTCGTGGCAGTATGCTCTGAACTTAATACTTAAGCCTGCCTTTGATTAACCAGTACTGATACATGAGTTCATTAGAAGTGTGCGTTATCATCAAATTCGACAGTTTATGTTTGAGTCACCTGATTGTATTTATTATATTTGCGGGAGCGGGAAGCTTCAAGTGCACAAGTTCAAAAGTACACTGAGTCACGCAGACGAGAAAGAATATGACAACAATTGTAAAGAAATTTGTTACTCATCATTGCATTTGCTGTCTTTACATATGCAGCGCTGTTTGCTTGCCTCTGCTAGCCAGGTCTTTAACTGTCTCTTTTCCTATTCCAGTGTTGCCCCCCGTCACTATAGCTGTCTTCCCATCTAGACGTGTATCTGAAGACCATGTGGGGATGAAGAGAGACCTGTGGAGTGAGGCACATAAAGCCTTTATCTCAGATGGATGAATGAAAAGCTACCGTCAGACTCC